CCCACAAAATGTCCTCAAAAGTTTGTTCCAAAACTGCAAATGTACTTTTTTTTCTGAGTTTGATCAACACTTTTTAGTAAAATCCCCTCAGAAAAAGGAAATGGGCATAGAAGAGGTGTTGAGTGTTGAGCTCCAAGTAAAAGATAAAGTCAAAACATCCCAATCGACCAGTTGCTTCGATTCCATATGTTGACGAGTGCTTGATCTCACAATGATGCTACAAAATGTTTTTCCAGCCATTTCCTCTGTTTATAAAAAGAAAACTTTTGATTATTTCCCAGATGGCAAGTCTCAAGAACGTGTTGCTGAAGAACCCTCTGGGAGTCGTGGGCTCGCTGAGAACTCTTTGTTATCAGAAGAATTTCAGCGGGCACGATGCATGTGCAACCACTTCCTGTTGTCCGGCTCGCAGGGCCGAGAAGTGGGTTCGAACGAGGTCGTATTCGGATGATGCGGGTAAGTTCAAAGTTCTGACCCAGTCCACGATGCTGATGCAGGATGGGAATGACATTGAGGAGCTCCCGATTCTCATTCGTAGGGTGACCAGAGACTGGTTTCCCTTCACCACACACACCTACTCTGGAGGAAGCATTAGAGAAGAGTCCGAGTTCGAAGCCAGCTTCCGTCAAATTCTTCACGATTGTTCGTCTGTCAGCGATGTGTTTCGTCTGCTCGAGGTGCCGTCGGATCGTGTCAGAGGTTACTCTGCGGCCTTCGCCCTCCAGCGACTTCATGTCTTAAAGCATCTGAACACAGACTGGAACCAGATTCATTCGTTCATCCGGTCAGCGGTGATGAGGGAACTCTACGACACTGTTCAGGATGACGTTGCCCAGTTGTCCAATCAGACGCTGATCTCACTGGTGGAGTGTTACCTGGCCGCTGATGGCTTCAGTCCCTCGTGCATGGATGCCGTGAACCAAGAGATTCAGTGTCGACTTGGTGACAGCACTTTTTCGGTGGAAGAGCTCCTCACGTTGGCGAACATCTTGAAATGTGTGAAGAAAGAGTTGTCGTCAAAGTCTTCACCCCCGGGCATGCCGAAGACGTCCACCATGACAATTGCTGCAGAAACAAAGTCCCGCTTCCTCTCCAGTAATGTTGAAGAGAGCGGGAAAAATGCCCAGTATTTCGACAAGTTTTGTGCCAAAGCTCAGGAGAACAGAGAGGTGTCTCAGGCAAAGTGTTCTAGTCTTCTGGACGACATCTGGATCCACGTGGGTACCAGGTACGTTCCCAACACTAAGTGTGTGCTTCACAGTTTACATATTATAGCTTGTGCCCATTGGCAGGGTCGGTTCAGTTTGACTGTCTACTTAGGGCCTTGATACACAAATGTGTTTGTTTCGTTTTTGGAGGTCACCTTCAAATTCATTCCAGTTGTGCACGGTTGTTGATTTTGCCCTCCCGTGGATGGAGGAAAATCTGGCTGGCCCTGGCTCAGTTGGAATGACTGAATCGAACCAATCCTGCAAATGGGGACACAGCCTATTGCTTTGTTTCTCTCAGAGTGGAGTGAAAAAAATTGTAATCTCAGTAGAGCAAGTTGGATAGTGATTAATTCCACTTTGAACAAAATTGCTGTCCAATACAGTACAAATTCATGTGTTGATGTTTTTTTTTACCCAGCACTCAATAGTCCCTGTCATTTTATTTTGTGATGTGTGCTTGTCTTTACCTTGTCGGTTGTGTTTGTATGAATTTGTGGTTTTTCTCAGCGTTAAGATGAATATTTATTATTGCATAGACATGCGTTTTTGTGGCGTTGGTGGTCTCTTGGTTAACCCCTTGGTAATACTTTTAATTATTAGTACTCTATAAATGAGTAGGTGGTTGGTGGGTGCCCTGATGTGGTTTGCTCTTTCTTTCCTATCGAACATCCATCATCCTTATCTCTTCTCCCTCTTCTAAAATTAGCCTCTTGTAACACCTCTAATCTTTGGCCCTTATATGACTTAATTTGTGTTGCAAGTGCCGTAAAACTTCAGCTAAAACTAAAACCAAAAAGAAAAAAGGCTCATCCGTGTAAGCTCATCCGTGTAACCTGTGTGTGGCGCTGTACCCTCAGATATAGCGACATGACCGAAGCGACCCTGCCCCTCACCATGGTGACCTTGACCCCCGAGAACCGCAGCCTGGTGTCCCTGCTGGAGAAGCCGATGCAGCGCGTGTGGCCGGGTCTGTCTGCCGAGGGCGCCATGCAGTGTCTGGACAGCCTGGTGCAGCTCAAGGTCTACAACCCCGCCATCCTCACACAGCTGGGCCGGTGGGCGTACGTCAACGTGCACCTCGTCACCCCGCAGCTCCTGCTCTCCTTCCTCAACGCCTTCCTGCACTTCCACTTCCTGGACCAGAACCTGGTGCGAGTCATCGAGCGCTGCTTGAGTAAAAGAGGCGTCACCGTAAGTCTGTGGTGGTATTGTGCTCTAACTCTGACCTGGTCATTGGGCCAAGTCGGTCAACTGGAAGAAGTAGATAAAGTCATCTGACTGGAAGAAGTAGTTAGTTAAAGTAGGTACCACAAACCCAAATTTCAAAGTGCTTTGATCAAACTTATGTTTGTTGCATCATAAAGAACTATGCAAACCATGAACTTTGGTGTTTGAATTATAGAAATCGGACAATAAATAAAAAAATGACAGGCGTTTGAAATTTGTGGACGCCGTAAATTTTTGGCAACTTTAAAATCA